CTTTTAACCAATGCGCGCAAAAATAATAATAATTACTGAACTTTGAAGACACACTGCAAATGAAGTAAACAACTAAGAACTTTTATTTTGGCAACTAGTGATGTAGAATTTTATCTTCTTTCACCCGGTACCAAATACGGTTGTGAAAGTTAAAGTTCATCTTTTGAATTAATCGCCACTTTTGATGGATTTCAACCCTCTGTGCGCCGTTCGGAGTCGGCGTAAAACTGTAGGTCCCTCCGCTTTGTGTGACAACATCAAGGCGCACGCCACAAATCGGAGGAGAAGCTCGGCCAAACACTAACATATGTGTAAGCGCCAATCTATTATTATTATTATTATTATTAAAAGAATGTATTAGGGCCGTTAACTTATCTATTATCGATTTAACTATAGGTACTTTAAAATAGATAAATTTACAACCCCAAATATCCTTAATGTCTTAAAGGGCCCACGGATGATACCAGCATGCTGGCGCCATCAAGTGTTGGTGTCAGCCGATTGACCGTGGCGAAATTAGCCCTACATATGCATATGTATGTGAGTAAAAATTTTAAATACCATTTTTAGCCACAACGAATTTGTACAGCTCTTTTAAGCCCTTTTTAAAAGGAATTTGGCTACCACTAAAAATGATACGCGGCAACACTGCTGTATACGTACATATATGAACTGCGGCGCTGGCGTTGCTCGCGGGCGAAAATTGCCCACCTATGATATACAGAATATCAATGACGATCTAAATTACACTGTGTGACAAAAATGAATATACTTTTTTCGTTGGTCAAACGTGTTGTAGGTGTAATCAAGCAGAAAAATCTGCATACTCAGAATTTTAAATACACCCTCAAAATCTCGGCTTAAGATCAAAAAACGTGTTTTTCATAGGTATNAGGTGTAATCAAGCAGAAAAATCTGCATACTCAGAATTTTAAATACACCCCCAAAATCTCGGTTTAAGATCAAAAAACGTGTTTTTCATAGGTATATACATATGTATGTATGTGATTTAAGATAAGACATTCCGCTGCCTACAACAATGTATACCTTGTTAATTTATCTTAAGAAGTGGCGGAGGAATCTTACAGAGAATACGCCAAATTTAATTTTTTTACATTTTTTTTTTTTTTAATTACGTCTTGTCTGACTATTTTGTTTGTAAGTATACATACATATGTATGTACATGTATATATGTATGTACATGAGGGTGCCCTTGGATTTTTTTTTTTTTTTTCAATACCCTACCCCTAATTCTCGTCCTTTTTATGAGATATATAGCCTATTTTTATAGACATTTTAAGAATCAGTTAGAGGTCGCGACTTGTCATTTTAGGCGAGCCATAAATTTTTTTTTTTAGCTGTTTGAGTTGCTACCCCCTGAAATGGTTACATTTCATCGTTGTCATCTACTTACTCGTACATTTAAAAGTCCTAAACATACATATTTGAAAGGAACAAAATCAAACTTATTTTCCATTTATTTATGAATGATGGTGTGAACAGAAATAATTTTGTTTTGCATCATGCAATATTTTGTACAAACGTACTCGTGCAAAAGCCGCTAATAAAGTGGCTAGCCAAGGGCAGCACTGATGCAAAGTGATACTCTCATTATCTCTACTTCGCCACGTTTATGGCAAGGGTTAGACTTTATTAATTGGGACACAATTTTTACGGAATTTCGGGAGACGTAAATAATGATTTTAGCCGTTTCTATTTAGAATATCTATTACTTTCATTGCAAATATGGAAAAACATTTAGCAAATCGTAGCAATATTAGATCGTACAATTTGCAGAACAGGCCGTATTGTGATTTTTTAATGTCAAACTACAAAAAAAAATCANTTTACGGAATTTCGGGAGACGTAAATAATGATTTTAGCCGTTTCTATTTAAAATATCTATTACTTTCATTGCAAATATGGAAAAATATTTAGCAAATCGTAGCAATATTAGATCGTACAATTTGCAGAACAGGCCGTATTGTGATTTTTTAATGTCAAACTACAAAAAAAAATCATTTTTGCGCGGCCATATTCAGTCGGGCCACCCTTTTAATACATCAAAAAACTCGTTTTACAAGCCGATAGTTTGTTGATGTTTGCATTTTTTATATTCCTCACCTCTATGAACGTCAAATATCAAAAGATTTACTCCACTACGACTTATTATTTATACAAGAGCGCACTTGTGCACAAGGGTATTATAGCTTTGTTCACAAAACGGTTGTTTGTAACAGCCAAAACGAATCGAGATGGATATAGACAAATGTATACCTAAATGATCAGAATGAAAACAAGTAATTTTTAGCAAAAAAAAAACCGACTTAAAAAAAATATATATATATCTATATATTTCATGATCCAATGATTGGATCTAAACCAAATTAGTATGGGACCACCTCTGAGACACTACCTTTCCGTTGCAATTATTTGGATTATTGAAATCGGTTGACGTGGTGCAAAGTTATGCGGTAACACACATAAAAAAAACAAAAAAAAAAGATTCCGACGAACTGATAACCTCCTCCTTTTTTGGAAGTCGGTTAAAAAGAAATCGATTAAGCAGTGACTGTCTGTCCGTCCCTCCGTCTATGCACACGATAACCGTCTATCTTAACGAAACTTGGTATGTTTACTTCTTTCAAATTTTTAACCATTCCCACATCCCATATAACGGTAATTTCGTGCAATACGAAAATACAACTTAAGCAAGAAATGCTTTTAAAAAAAATTGTTGGGAAATGGGCGTGACACCGCCCACTTATGACCACATATCTATGTGTATCTCGGCAACCGTTCTATGAATTTATACCAAACTCAGTATAATTATTGTACTTGACACATAAAAGCAATATGTTGAAAATTTTTGAAATCGGCCTCAAATTAAGCCCAATTTCCATATAACGGTAATTTTGAGAAATGCAGAAACTTCAATATTTCGATAGCTGAGCATATCTACATACCATCGAAGATGCTTGAAAAGGGGTAAAACCACCCCTGCTGTTTTCGGAAAGGTGAAAAAAACTATATTTAATACGCGCGCCGGGATTTAATGCTCGGCTCCGCCCGAACTTAGACTTTTTCACTTTTTTTTTATTTATGTAAGTGTTTGTTAATAATTTTAATTTTTATTTGTTTTATTTTTATTCTTAGTCAAGAATTGCTATTCAAAGTTCATTAAAACAACATTCAAGTGAAGTTTGGCGCTCATTTACTTATGTACGGCTGTAGTGCGCGGTTGACTGTCTGATTAGCCGGTGAATATTCATTCGCACATACAAATCCATAGAGTTGCGTCGCGAAATGTTGCAAAGTGACAAACGATTTTCCAGTTTATATAAAATCGCATTCTTATGTGGCTTAATTGCGGTCAACTGTGTGAATGAGGTCAAAAGCGTTGAGTTCTACGCTGAAAAACGTGCGTTAAAGTGTATGACAAGTAGTAGCGATAAATATAACTTATTTATTTTAAAAACAATTAAAGTTTCTATTTACATATAATGCACACATATGTATGTATGTATAAATATGTATATGCACTTATTTTCTAGCCGCCTTCCTGCCTTCATGTAAAATCTATCAGCCTGGTTTTACAAAATGTTCTACAAACTCTGTGCAAAAATTAATTGATCAACTGGTTATTGGCAAGTTTTTATCCAAAGATTGAATCAAGTTCATCGTTTATAAACTAGTTAAAATATTTTAGGTATACCTGAAGTAGTGGAGGAGTTTGGCCCCTTCGATCCAATGCATGTACATGACATATACTTCAAACAAGACGGCAACGATGTAGCCAGAATTCACGCAAATTTGAGTGATGTTATAGTGAAGGGATTCTCGAAGACAAACATTAAGGAGAGCAGGTGGGTTGAAGTAATTTTAAAACCTCGATGAAATGAATAACTCAATATAGCTAAATTGTTGCTGAGTTCCCTGAAAACCTAAATTCTCCATACAAAAATGTTCGGAATATATTGACGGTTAAAGTCCCGGTAGCAAAAGCCTTTATATAACAAAGTGTCGATTCAAAAGCATCTACTTGCCGAATTCTGAAAAGAGCGACCCCACTGCTATAGAAGAAGTATCTCAGATCAGATTTGTTCGATTTTCAAAAGTGCGGTGTCAAATTAAAGGGCTCGGACTGTGGATGTGCCTTTGTTTCTTAACTTAACTCCAGGAGGGGTGCCACCTGTTTAATAAATTAAGTTCAATTTGACTAAGGTAATAGAAATATGTATAATCATGTGGGCGCCATAAGAAAATGGTTTAAAAAGGTAATAGTGTGTAAATATTTTTTAGGGGATTGCCACCTATTTGAAAAGTTTGCACTTACACACAACTAAAGATTAAAATATGCCTAAAAATGGTATTTAGAAATCTTTAGTTAAAACACTAATAACTTTTTGAGGTGTTTAAAGAAGGTTGACAACCGTTTAAAAAGTTAAATTCAAATTATTTCATAACTTTAAAAAATTATTAAAATACTGGTACCAATCGAAGTGGGTTTGGCAAGACTTTATTTACGAACAACAATATTTAGAGGGATGCCACATGTTTAAAAATAAAATTCAACTTAATTCATCAGTTATTTTCAAATATTTTTCACAATGGCAGACAAAGGTTTTAAAGCTTGAACCTTTTTTTAAAGAGGGTTGCCACCTGTATAAAAAGTCGAATTTAATTAACTTATATGCACACTATTTTAAATATGAAAATGCAAGTGTCAAGCGAAAGACTGTTAAGAAATCTTTAATTTGAATATTTAGAAAGTTTGAGGAGGGTTGCCACGTGCTCAGAATATGGCATTCAAATAAGTTTGATGAGATACTAGACCTACCCTGTCAATGGAAATGGGTTTTAAAGGCCTCATTTCTGAAATACATTTGGAAGGGTTTCCACTTGTTTATAAAATTAAATTCAAACTTAATTCATCAATTAATTAAAAGATTTAACACAACTTAGGAAATAAGGAAATTTAGAAAATACTTTGAATAGGTTTTCCTCCAGTTTGAAAAGTCGAATTTAATTAACTTATATATAAAGTATATCATACATTAAAATACGGATGCCTAACGAAAGAGTGGTAAGAAGTCTTAAGATTGAACATTTATGTTTGAAGAGGGTTGCCACCTGTTTAGAAAGTTGTATTAAAATTATTAATCTAAATGGATTCTAAAGGGCTTTATTTCTGACCTTTATTTGAGAGGATTGTAGCGTGTTTCAAAAATTAATTATCCCAATATTAGACGAAAGGGATTTAAGAAGATTTTAGTTTGAAAGTACTTTTGAAAATGATTTCTACCTGTTTTTAGAGTCGAATTTAGTTAACTTATGTATATGTATGTAGGCTAGTTTTATGAAATATTAAAATATGAGTGTGAAGGTCATTAGATTTGCATCGTTCTTTCGAAGTGGCCAGTAGATGTGCGATAAGATTTTATTATTTGAAGTGAAAATTTTTTATGGGTAAGGGGTGATTTGGAATTTGATGATATTAAAAACCGACACTATGCGAGACCTCTCTTCACCTAGAAACGCTTGCACGGATTCAGATGAAATCATTCAGACCGCTTACAACTCTTCTAACATTTGTAATAGTTCCTAGGGGTTTGAAAATCAATTCTGGGCGTTTTAACGCCACGCGGGTTCACTAGTTTTTATTTATTTTGCATACCTTTCTATTACGAGATATAAGGGTTTATATGGAAAGAAATTGATACAATTTTTAAATTCAGATGTCTTTTACACACTCATTCGGATATCTTAAAAAGATCTAGGTATAGGAAAATTTTTACATATTTATGCAATTTAAACATATCGTTCTGATTTAGGGGAAAAACCATAAAAAAACAAAAACAACGAAAATTTCCCTTACCATCCCTAAAAATGCTTTATAATAAAATCAATTATACATCAAATACGGCAGGGTATCAACTTAAAAAAACGCATGGCCCAGAAAACTTACTAAGGAGAGTTTCCGGCACTAAGTCATAAAAAATTTCTTGCACAAACATTTTTACTGGTTGGATATTCCATCGGAATCCGCAATAAAATGTAAATTTTTGGAAAAACACGTTTTTAAACACCTTTCTAACTATACATATACGAATTTTTTCCAAAAGTTTTTTTTTTTTTTGCTGTATCGAGGTTTTGGTATTATAATGGACTTATTGATAAAAAATAAAATTTAAAGAGCTTTATAAGCAGACGTTTCCGTACATTTTACAATTATAAAATATAATGTTATAAAAATTATAATATAATTATATTATAACAAAACTACAAATATAACGAAGCATTTGTCCAACACATTCAAATTCGTTATATCGGGGTTTCGCTGTAAAATTTTTATTACATGCGTATGTACGACTTTTTTCGTCTTTCGGCGCCATATGAAAATTTCGTTTTCTGTCACAAAAAAAAATTGTGGCAAAATTTCAGTGCCCTGTCTTCATTGTTCAGTTAGTCTTCGCAGCAATAAGAATTTTTAATGAAAAAATTGTTTTCCCCCACTTTTTTTTAATGAACAGTTAAATATAACAAATAAAAAAACAACCTTGTGGCTCATTGAATTTTAGAAAGTTTGGAGTAGCCAGGACTTACCTTTGACTTTTGGTCATTATTATTTCTCTCCATCTGAATCGTCGAACACACTTCGTATAGAAGAAAATGACCGACACCATCCTAATCCGACCCTATCGGATTTTGCCATCACCTCTGGGGATGTCAGTCGTTACTTGCGAGTACTGATTTCTTTCTTGAGCACAATATGCAGAATAATTTTTTCCATTAATGTTTCACCATTAGTGTCTCTGTCAACCACATTACTACTGCTGACATACGCTTGACAATGCAATCTCTCAATAACCTTTACTGCTTGATTGTGTTGAATAAAGTGTAACATTTTATTGGAACTACATAGATGATCGACGGGAAAATTAGGAAAACGAACACTTACCTTGTCAACCGCATGTAAGTAGGAAACACTCGGGTCCATACCTCTTTCTTTCACCTAAAAAACTTGGTTAACAACTGTGAATAAGCAAAATACGCCGAGACATGTAAACTTAATTTTGAGTCGTAAGCAAAGCTAACAATTAAATTCGCTATTGGGTTTAAGAGAAAATATACCAAAATTTAGTATTTCAGCTGACAACTATTTTTTATAACTCCGCCAACGTTTTGACGCCCCTAATTTGTGAATTATTTTTTATCAAATGCAAAATTGGCCCAAAGTATTTGCCTGAATTATTTACTTTTTTCACAGAGTCAGCAAACGGGACTTCAACTGGATTACCAAAATCTTTTTACCCAAAATGCGAATGGATGCCGTTTATAAAATGGAAGGGCAGATTTTATTGATACCCTTGAGAGGTTCCGGCAAAATGTTTATAGAAATCGGTATGACACTCTTTTATCTGTAGTACTGTGCTTTTCATGGAAAACTTATTTAAAGATAATGTGACTGAAACATAACAAATACTGTAGCTAGCATTGAATACATTTATTTTTTATTTACTTATTTCCTTTCTTAATCTTACAGACAATCTCGACATTACACTCTACACGAAAACGCGGCTCTACGAAAAAGCTGGCTTCACTTTCGACAACGTAACTGCAGTTCGTGTTGACTTGAATATGACACGCGTACGCACAAATTTTGAAAATATTTTCAATGGACACAGCAAGGAGGTGGAACGAAGCACTAATGAATTCTTCAATGAGAATTGGCGCGACTTTTACGAAGCACTCAAGCCGATTATCACCGAAACCGTAGAAACGATATTGTACGATGTGATGCACAAAGTTTTCAATTTAATACCGGCGAATTTCTTTGTCGAAGATATACCCACCTCGGAGCAATTGTATGGCACGAATAAATCATTAACCGTTGCGTAGAAATGGAAATGGAGTTACTGACGTGTATACATATGTATTTTGTTTGAAAATTAAACACCATCCAAATAAATTGTGAATAAAAAAAAATTTAATAATAAAAATGTAATTTTAATAATTTTTTAGCAACAAACACAACCGACTACCATTCTCATATAAAAATTGGGGAGTTAAGCCAAATTGGTATGGGATCACGCTTGAGGTACCACTTTACCTTGTCGAAAGTTATGTGGTACCATAAATACATATATTTTCCGAAAATTAAGTATTTAGGAAGATAAAATTATTTTATTTAGTTGATATTTTGGATTGAAAATTTTATCAAAAACATTTTAAGGGGAGTGGTCCCGGCACATATCTATTACCGGACTCGGATTCCTCTTGGCAGACCTGGCTATATCACGCCACATGCTAAATTCATGGATAAAAATAAAATTTCCCTTTCGCAATGTGAACACAACATACTTTAACTATCTCGCCTGCCTGCACCATAATTACAATCCACTTCAAATCTGTATCACTGACCATGCTAACAAATGATTTTAATTTGTGGTTCTCTCATGCTGCTTCTTGACATTGATATAATAATACGTCAAGTCTCGATTACGGTTGTGACTGCGCTTAGGGCTATTTTTAAACCCGAGCGCACCTGTGCACAAGGGTATTATAGCTTTGTTCACAAAACGGTTGTTTGTTGTAACAGCCAAAACTAATCGATAAAGATATAGACAAATGTACACATAAATGATCAGAATGGAAAACGAAATCGATTAAGAGGTGACTGTCTGTCCGTCCGTCCGTGAGTGCACACGAGAACTCGAGTAAAAATTCAGATATCTTAACGAAACTCGGTGCGTTTACTTCTTTTCAGTGTAGGACACATATTATTGAAAAGGGGCAATAACAACGTCTACCTCCCCTATAGCGGTAATTTAGAGAATACGTTTATGATAAAATTTTGGAAAATGGGCCTGACACCGCCAACTTACTTATATTGATACTACCAGCAAATCACTTGAAAAGAAGTAACGTTATTATGGAATTGTAGAAAATGGGCGTGATACCGCCCACCTGTAACTATATAAGTTGGTCTCATTATGTCTAACTGAAGAGAAATTTTTTAATGTAAATTTTATAAGAAATGTTAAAACATAGCTATTTAAAATTTATAGTAATTTACCTCATTAGTCTTTCTCTTTTTAGCTGACTTCATAAAAAGGAGGAAGTTATAAATTCATCGGAGTATTCTTGTTATCTACTATGTTACCGCATAACTTTGGACCACATTAACCGCTTTTGATAATTCTTTTTCTGGTGCCTCAGTGGAGGTCCCATACTAATTTGGTCTAGATCCGATCATTGGATCATGATAAAATTAACGGTACTTCTGAACTGTTATATAAGGTTTTGTCTTTTGCTATGGTTTGTTTTTTTGTTTATAATTCGAATTGCCATAACCTCTATCTGATCTTTAAACTAAAATAAAATGAATTAAAAGTAAAAACCAGGCGTGAATTTTTAAGACATGCGAAGGTACTTCAATTCATTAACACTTTTAAAAATAGCTGTCAAAACAGTTTTTTTGCTCTCCTGAAAAATTTAATTTTTGCAGATAGAGGGTATTGAATATAAGCCCTCGATATGCAAGTTTTCCTTTGTTAAGTATTAAGTGGTTTGGATTTGTTGATGTCAGTAATTAAAACCAATTATCCTCTAATACTTTTATAAGCACATTGTTACGTGGTAATTCGTAATTTACATAGAGTATTATTATTCATTTTATTTAATCAAGCATATCAATTTACGATTGATTTGCATGAGCGAATTAAAAAGGGAAACTTAAACAAATGATCAGCAATATCTATCTCTAATTTGTGTTTGAGGACTTCGAAGACAAACCGGTAAAATTAATATCTTTACGACAAGTAAATCTCTACATTGCATGTTGACACAATTTATCGAATTGTGTACACATAAATTTTTAGCCTATTCTAATTAATAAAAGCAAATTAATTTGTATATAAATGTCGCAATGCTTTTAATGGAGACAAATATGTTGGAATGTTGTTGTTGACCAAGATGCGGTGAGATGAGGAAAGCCTATGGTGTACCGACTTCGATGTCAGAATTGTCAAAGCCAAATCGAGATCAAACTAGTTGGGCTGTCGCAAATGTCGTCGATAGAAGCGGAGGTGTTGAAGGTGTTTAAAATATATATATATATTTTAATTTAATTCGTTTGCAATGAAATTGTTTTTTCACAACAACAACAACAGCACAGATTTCCAAAGGTAACAGTCGACGAGTTCATACACATTGACCAGGAATTTGGTGAAACAAAGGTCCCTGGTCCGAATTGTATATATACCCATGTGCTAGTTCAATTTATCCTGGAGAGAATTTTCCTACATCCATGGAAAAAGTAAAATATTACTCTGAACCATTGTCATACGACCTATCTGCAATGGTATGGAGCCATGGATATACTATTGGAGAAGGTTATCGCAGCTCGGTTGGCCATCTTCACAGAAGAGGAGGGCGGACTGTGTCTTTAGGCTTTCGTAAAAGGTGCTCAACACTAGCGGTATCGACGACTACACAGAAAAGGGAAAAGGTGGTATGTCGATGAAGACCAGCAGACCAACAGTAATTCTTACAACGGTTTTCAACTCACCATATTCTTTCGCAAGGCAGTTGTCAATTCCTGCAACTATCTTAAAAACTATCTTTCTAAAAGACCAAGTGGAATATCTGCTAACGAGGAGCATTACTCTGTTTCTATTTTAGCAATAATGTCCTAAAAGTTAAATGCAGTTAGGTGGTTCACAAGATGGCTTATTGTCGAATGTCGCAAAGTTTTTTACGGCTAAATAAATGTTTACAGGACTTCAAAACCACGACCAACTACTTTTTAATGGTGTAAATAAAATAAAAAAATGTATTTCTAAACAATAAAAACTAATTTAAATAAAAAATGGAAAACAGTTTTAATGGAAATAAAACCACAAAAATTAAATTAAATAAAAAAAAACAAATTTGAAACAAAACTAAGTAAACATTTTAAGAAAATTAAGTAAAAGAACAAGTAAGTTCCGAAAAATTAAATAAAATAAATTCAAATATTTAAATCTATGAAATTTAAGAAAATTTGAGTCAAAAATATAGGTAGCAAAACCAGAAAAAAACTATAAGTTCCTTAAATTTAATTACATAAAAAAAAACATTAGTCTTTTTAAAACAATAAAATCTAAAAATTTAAGAAAAATTATATAAAAACACAAAAAATTATTAAAAAAGAAAAAATGCGTAAAATAAGATTCTGAAAAATTTAATTTTATTAAAAGAATATGTTTCTTAAAATTAAAAGAAAGATAAGTCAAAAAAGGGAAAAATTTTGTTAAAATAAAAAAAAAATTCTGCCATAGGATTCGAACCTTGGATCGCTCGAATGGCACGCCAGCAGTTCTTTGTATACATTTACTCTCAAAAGAGCTTTTCTTCATGAAAGTGGGCAAGGGGCTCTTGTTCTGTAAGTTTTTCGTGCCGGAATAAGCAAAATCTCGGCGAAGGTCTCGTCCTGTTTTCACTGTGTCAATGAAGGTAGCGTACCCCAACGTCAAAAAAATTTATTTGCAAAAAATAAGTTTAAGAAATAACTCAGTTTTATTTATGAACGAGCTAATGTTTAAGCAACACAACCGACTTCGTTGTTCATATAAAAATTCAGGATTGCCATGAAATGCTTCATAATCTAATGATCCGAACTGGGCTAAATTAAAATAGGACCACCCTTGGAGTACCACCTTTCCGACAAGCATAAAAGCAAAAATATTTCCACGAATTGATAACCTCCTTTTTTGAAGTCGGTTAAAAATCACTTTGACCGCCCTTCTACCTGGTCAAAAATTGTGACTGTTATTGTTGCAGCCTCACCAATATAACATATTTTTTTAACTAAAGATACAGTGACAGATTACTTCCTTTCTTTATTAGCCTTTCTTTTTCCAGTAGCTTAACAAATAAAGCTCGCTCTACATAAATGAGTAAGTGCTTTGCCGTATGAAGTTATTACGAATCCAGTTTTGCCGTAGTCATCTATAACATTATCAACAATCATTGTATATTACTAATTTAAATTACATATATTTAATTATTATAAAAATCGCCAATTAAAACAAGTTATCCAGGTTCCCGGCTGAAACATCAAAGCTCGCTATGCGCAAAAAAGGAAACTTAAAACCGTTAAATTTCAGTGACATTCAACAATTTACATAATTAACCTTCTTAAAAGTTTCCGACATAAAATTTTTAGTGGCATCACGTTGCATGCATGCATGTATGTATGTACATTAGACCAGACCTGAAAAAAGTTCGCCGAACATCTTCGAGTCCAAAGCATTTTTGCAAGGCAAATTGAAAGAAATATATGTATTTATTTTTTGTCTCTAGGATTTCTAAAAGCAATTTTTTTGCCAAGCCCGTTTTAAATTTTTCGTTATATTTTCGGCATTTACGGTCGGATCTTCACCATGGAGGGTTACACTGATTTTCGCATTTTTTTTTTTTGCGAACCTTTGTGAAAGCAATATGAACGTATTTTAATAAAATGTATGCAAAGATCATAAGGCTTGTGATGTCCATTTACTTTTCTAAGTTCTAAATTTACAGTTTTAGGTCAAATCATGCGCGAAATTTGCGTTTCAAACAAGTAATGCATGGTCGACTCCACGAAGAGTAACTCATGCACAGTTAAAGAGTGATTTATCTAAGTTCTTTTCTCCAGAAAACATTTTTGTTCGATACAAACTTCTTATCCTTAACTAACACAACCTTATACTTACTGACAATATCTCAGTTTTTATCACCCTAAGGTACCATCCTAATGTTAGTAAATTAAAGCGCCACAAAACTATAGCACTACTCGTATTGCATTACCCGAGCCTCCCTCAAGTGCGGCAGTAACTCAAATAAGTTAATTACGATTGATTTAACATTAGAAAATAACATAAAAATGAGAATAGAAATAAAAACTAAGTTAACTCAACTAGTTTAC